CAACTCGTGCATGTATTGCCAAAGTAATTGCGGACAAAGCTTGCAGCATCTTGAAAAGTCGCCAAGATTCTGGCTCAGACTCTTCTGCTTCTGACGCAAGTTTCGCTACTGCTCAGAGTATTCCCACCACTGGTTCCGAGGACACCGTCGTCACTCCTACAGAAATTGCTGTTCCAGTCCTTAAGACCGTCGAACGAGTTACCACTCCATTCACTCGTGGTGTTACTCCTATGATGGAAGACAAAGGACACGTCTCTGCCTAGGTCTGCAATCCATCTAATTGATTTTCATTTAAACTCATACACCATCATTTAGATGCATTCGTTTAAAACCTATAAATATTATAAAAACAGTTCCTCGTGTTGATTCACTGTCTTTACATGGTTTCCTATTTTCGTATTCATTCATTCCATGCCTACTGTCCTTACGCCATCACAGCTATATAGTAGATGCATCATCTTACCATCGCCACTCATTTTATGATGTTCATTTGTATCAGTATATCATCTAGAGTTTCAATCTAATTATTGATCCTCTTCCTCACTGAGTTCTTCGTCAGAGTTGGTATCTGAGAGTCTCAGATGCGGTATGGCATTGAATATGTAATCATTTTCTGGTGTCATCCAATATTCATCTTCGTCTTCCACCATTAAATCTAATTGTTCGGCAGTTAAGTTGATAAGTTCGTGAATATTGTTTGGCAATTCAATTGGTTCATTTCGTGTAAAATGCGGTAATACTCTGAAGGCTCCAACCTTCTCCTTGAGTACTGTTCCATCCATTTCAGCAATAATATAAGAGCCACCCTTAGTTCGTCTGATCATGACCATAGGTCCTCTATATCTTGGATACATCTTTCTATCCAAACTCTTTTCAATTCCAGAATTTCTAACCTGGACTAGTTGACCTGGTTTGAAATTCCAATCTTTAATTGTATGTCTATATTTTCGTTCAAATCTTCGTAACTCTGCAACTTTGTTTGCATCTACTCTATGTCGTACTTTCTCCATGAATGAGTTATGTTTCGACAGAGCTTGAGCACGATATCCAATTAATTCATCTCTAGTTAAGATTCTATTAGGTGGATTCACCAACCAAGTTGATTCCACAATATCAAAGGGAAGCAACGGTTCAGCTCCTGTTACCAGGAAAGTTGCTTTAATTAAAGCCTGGCGTATGTCCAAATGCGCTCTTTCAATCTTGCCATTAGCTTGAGAGTTGTAGGTGGAAATTCTTATTCCTTTAATTTCATACTTCTCTTCTAACCAAGCTAGCATGTTTTTCATTTGACCTGCATTATCGGTCACCACTTCTTCAGGACATCCCCAACAACAAATTATATCGTCAAAGAACCATTCACCTAAAGTTCTAGCATTCTCATGTTTTACTGCTCGGGCCTCAGACCACGAAGACAGTGAATCCCTTCCATGGATGATGTATTTACATCCATTAGATGGAATTGACATTATCATTGTATCAACATGTACCTTCTGAAACAATGAAGGTGTATGCATCAAAGTAGGAGGTGCTTTCAACAGCTTCATTTGTCTATTTTGACACTCCTTACATGATCTCACATACCATTCCACGTCTTTATATATGTCAGGCCACCAGAATCGTTTCTGCAAGAAATCATTCGTTGCAAAGACTCCTTTGTGTCCCAAACAATCATGTGCACTATTCAACATGTGCATACACTTTTCTTTTTCCACCACTAATTGTGGTTGATCAGGTTGATCAGTATTCCTATGGTACAACCTTCCTTGGTCGTCCACTTGAAATTTCTTAATCAATCTAATAAATTTAATCTGTTCATCTTTCGACATTTCACCCAGGAATTCATCTGATGGGTTCGACAAGTACTTCCCAATCAAAGGAATTAATTTGTCCAATCTATTACCCTCAGAAGATCTATGTGCTTCTGGGTACGGATTGTTTTGTACATTTTCTTCATCAAAAGTAGGGAACAAATTCCTACTGAAGACTTCACATGTTGCGTTTTTGGATTCTAACATGTAGTTCCTACGAATCTCGTAGCTTCGCTCTTCATCCAGAACTTCTTGTACATCTAATTCAATATCATCAGCTTCTTGAGCTGTTTCGTATAAGTAACCACTTCTAGGGTCAATTTGATCTTTGAAATCATCAAATTGATACGGCTCTTCCGTTTCCCCATCTCCCATAATAAAATTAATTGGTTCCCCACCATCCTCATCAACGTAATCTTCTGGATTTACTTCTGGAAGCTTTGTTTGCCATCCACCAGGTGTGATTCGTGATAATCCATCAGGACCATGGGTTGCACCTTTTACATGGATTAATGTAAAGTGATAGTTTCATACATGCTCAATCCAACGGTTTATGGTTGCATTAGGACCACAACTAGGATTGTCTAGCATGCCTTTAATATAACTTGCATCAGTTTCAACTGTTAAACGTCTACATCCATAGACATGATAATAACTAGCTTCCAATGCTAATTTCAAGCCATACAATTCTCTCTTAGATTGCGAGAATCGTGCTTCGCGTTCATTCAAAGTCATTGATCCAAAGTAATTGAAGAACTTCTTCTTTTCAGACAGATCAATTTGATAGATATACCATCCCACAGCTTTGTAAGAGGTATCCACCACTAAATAAACATCCCAATCAAAATTAATTGGTCTTAAAGCTGGACAGTCTCGGATTCCATCCTTTAATTCGTCCATTGCTTTGTCACATTTTTCATTCCATTCAAATGGAACTTTACTTGTCAACTTAGTCAAAGGAGCTGCTTTCTTAGCAAAGTTCGCAATGAACATTCTCAATTGACTTGCAGTTCCTAAGAATGCTCGAACCTCGGTCTTATCATGACATGAAGGCCATTCTAGGACTACTTGAGCAATATGTTCTTCTGGCATACTTCCTTCGTAGGTACATCTATGTCCTACAACAATTGTTTCTTCACAACAAAGAAATGCTTTGGTTCCACTGAAGGTTCCTCCTGCATATTTCATTCGTTGTATTACTCTATTCATGTTTTGGAAATGTTCCCAAACAAATTGTCTAATTCCAGGATTCTCTGGAATAGTTTCGTAACCTCCTTCTGGTAATTCATATCGAGTTGATGGCCCTTTTACAGGTACATCATCAATGTAAGGAATTGTTATGTGTGGTATTTCATCTCGTAGAATATATGTCACTTCGTTGTGAAATATAGGTACAGAATTTGTCCACCCCATAGGTAGTTTTACTAACCTATGTGGTCCATACGGCGTTTGAAATGTTGTCATGTCTCTAGACAATTGATCTAATTCTCGTTCATCATATCCAACATATAAATCTAAGGTTCCTCCACTGAAGGATCTTGCTAGATCTGCAGTTGCAGGAGGTACGCCTGAGTGTTGGATGGTAACCTTATTCAAAGGTTCCAAACTATGTACTAATCGTAGACTCTTGCCATCTTTCTTAATGACACAGAACCATTTCAAACGATAACTAGCATTCGATGGTTCGTATATTCCTGAGTCAATTTTACTTTTAATTATTTTGCACACATCCTCGAAGATACCTGGCGGGATTGGTATATTCCTTTCAACCCACGGTTCATGTGGAATTACAGGTACTTTCACAGGTGGAAAAAACTCATTTTTAAAGGTTCCAGCTTCACTTGGTTGCCAAGCAAAGCCTGCTTCCTGTTTACACATCATTTCGTGCATAAGATCTCTCTCTTGTTCCCACAAAAATCCTTCAGGATGATTCTTATCTATTATCTCTTTCTTTTCTTCCGTATATCTTCCCGTAGGGACAAATGGTTTAGGATGTTTCAACAACTCAGGTAGTTCCACCAACGGATCACCATGAATGTGTCTTTCAATTCTAAATTCATCTGGTAACGTTGCCTTTATAGGGTTAACCTTCTTGTCAACAGGTTTATACTTCGTAAACACTTCTTCTGTATTCAAGTTGATTGGTTTCTCGACTCCTATGGCTTCATTAACCACTTGTTTATTCGTTTCATCTATTAAATTGATAGGAGACCTATCCTGCTGATTCAATTTAATACGTTCTTCAAGTTTATTTGTTGGAGGTTCATTCAATAAGTCTGGCTGAACATTCTCCTTCTTGTCTTTCAAGTCCTGGGCTTTTCCTTTCTTTTGTTGCCTCGACTCATATCTTACTTTCTCAAAACTCGGTTGAGATCTTTGGAATGATTCAGTTCCTCTTTTGAGTACTTCATATCGAACCATTCTCTTCCTAGTTCTCTGAGAGTTTTTAGGTTTATTCCAATTATCATCTCTGATCGTTTCAGAGATGTTTTCGTTATTACATTGATTCTGTGTGGTCTCTGTGGATTCAGATTTATTGCAATTCTCCCCCAAACTAAAATTTTGTAGTACAGGTTCAACAAATCGCCTCTTCTGAACTTTCCTTTGTATGGGTTTAGGCTTGATCCTTCCATTCTGAAGGAAGAATGACTTTATAGGATTTAAATTGAATTGGTCATTATTCAATTGATCATCCAATTCGCCTAAAACACCATCTCTCCATACACAGAATACTTGTTTATCCCCAATCGTCTTTTGATTAAGGTAACAATCAATTATTTATTCGGCTCGATCATCTTGAGACTTCAAATGTTCTCTAGATGCAAGAACATATGCCTCAGAAAGTTCTTTCTTAGAGAACATTTCTTGTTCACATTGTTTGTATCCATCTAATACAATGTTTTGCTTTTCATCAAAGTGGAAGCTTAGAGTCAGTTTGATGTGCAGAGTCGCCCTGACTTTACTTGTGTCAGATTCCTGTATATAGAAATTGATCTTTGATTGAAATCACGCGTGACAACGGGGGAAAGCGCTTGTTTCACAGTAACGAGCGCCCACTTATCATTTTGTGATCTTTTGCTTTTCTGCACTCATTTCGCAATGCCTTCCTCATTATCTGAAGTCTCTGAAGCTACCAGAGCAAAATAGGTAATCACACTAATTGTTTCTCTGATACAATACATTACCCTTGGTGTAGCAATGTATCTCACACCTTTTTACAGCAAGGAAGACATGTATACCTCCTCTCTCACTGGGAAAAAATGGCTTGAAGAACTTCTTGTAGGCCATCCAGGGCGTGCTTATATTGCACTTGGGATGCGTAGGCATGTGTTTCTTGCCTTGGTACTACAGATTAGGTGTATGGGATATATGGAGCCTGAGAAGTCTACAATCACACTCGAAGAATCACTGGCCATTTTTCTCTACACCTGTGTCACTGGGCTTGCTATAGATCATGTAGCTGAGCAGTTCCAGCACTCGAAGTCCACAATATCTGAGGAATCATCTGTCTGCTACATATCCAATTGAGTGTCTGATATTCTCTGCAGACATTTCCACAAAATATTGGATATTTTGTCTGGACCCAAATTCTACAACAAATACGTGCGCATTCCTGGTCCTCATGATCCTATACCAGATGCAATATTCAATAATCCAAAATATCATCCATTCTTCAAGGATGTGCTCGGTGCAATCGATGGTACGCATATCAATTGCACACCGACTGCTGAGAATATACATTCAGCCCGTAATCGGATGTTACCCAAAACTGTCTAGCTGCTGTTTCATTTGACATGCGGTTCCTTTTGTTCATTGGCGGATGGGATGGCTGTGCTGCTGATGCAACAATGTATGGCAAAGCCCGTTTAAAGGACTTTCCTATCCCTCCTGGTAAATCATACTTGGCTGATGCAGGCTTTGGTATATGTGATGCACTTCTGGTACCATATCGGAGTGTGCGGTATCATCTAGCGGAATGGGGCCGTGCTAATCAGCAGTAAGTGGATTCAAGTAGAACTATCTACCATTGTTAGATTCACTATGAATTTACCAGCCCAAAAAATGCACAGGAGCTTTACAATCTACGCCATGCTTCTGCCCGAAATGTTGTTGAACGTATTTTTGGTGTGGTCAAGAAGCGCTGGGCAATTTTGATGACATCACCCCACTATGCAATGGATATACAGGCCCGCATCCCCTCAGCTCTGATTGCTATTCACAACTTCATTTTGGAGCATGATCAGGCAGATCTTGATCGTTGGATTCTCGATGAACAGGCGGAGGATCCACTTCCAGGCCAACGTCGTCAGCAGGAAATTGATTTTGGATCCCTAGCTACATCGGAGAAAATATCGCGGGCAGAAAAACGGTGTGCAGAAATTGCCCGGGATAGATTGGCAAATGAGATGTGGGAAAATTACCTATCCATTCTGGAGGAATACCATAAGCAGGGCGGAGTTGATGCAATGGATGTAGATGAAGATGAAATGGAAATAGCTCCATTAGATTAGACATTAAAATGGATATATCATATTCAAATGAGTGTATGGATAAGACTATTTAATATAAAAGCTTTGCAGCAATTTTTGCATGATCGACAGGATCCTCTTCTGCACCATATGCATCAGCAGCTGCATTGTCCCTTGCAAATAGGATTTTCAAGTCAGTAGCTTGATCATCTGAGATATAAAAACCCTGGACATCCTCCTTGATCCGCTGCCGGGCAATAGCTAGCTTTTTCGAAGGGGAAAGTGCAGTCGATTTAGAAGTTGTGCCGAAAATGTCACGTAGCGTGTCACTGATACCATGTACAGACTGCCCCAGTGAATGAATCACTTCAGGGCCTGTCAAACACACACGTTTGCTACTCCAGGGTGTCGGAGTGTCGGCTATATCAGAGGATGCACGTTTCGGTGCAGGAGTTTTCTGTAGTTGTGATGAAGTGACAGAGGTCTGCGACAAAGTGGAGGAGACCTGCATGGAAACCTGGGACAAAGTATCCTGTGATTCATCAAAAGCCTGGGATGAAGTGATCTGTGACTCGGAAATGGCAGAATCCTCGGAGGGAGAACGATTTTCGACATCCTGTAAGGGAGTAGCAGAACACGAACGGGGGTCTAACTCCGGCTCAGATAGTGAATCACCAGTTTCCTGTGCTGTATCCTGGGATGCAGCATTGAAGACATGGACTCCTCTGGCCTGAGTCGGAACGATCTCATGCATCAGCTCCCAGAGAGGCCATCCACTTGTTTTGAAAGGTTTAAACTGCTTGTGAACAGATACGAAGTTCCTCCAAGCATCCTCAGTAGCAGAAACAACATTGAAGCCACCTTCATGACTGTAAGTCCATCCTGAAGCTCCAGTATAGGTTTTCTGAAGGACTGCAAGGATATCTGTGTGAAGCTTTCGGAGCTATACGATGATCAACCTAATTAGCTAAAGAAGATAGAAAAAACCATTGAGAACATACTGTAGAGCTGTAGTACTTCTTAATAGAAACAGCAGTCTTGGCCACTCCATGGCTTGGAGGACCACGAGCTTCAAGGTGTTTTGCAGCCTCATTGTACACAGTGCTATCAAAATTACCACCTTGTCCTACCCGTGATCTCTGGCTGTGTAAGAACCTAACCAGTGCCTCTACATCTCCAGGTGAGTTCTTCCAATCAACCTGATCCTTTTTCGGCTTGCCCATGTAAAAATATTGTTGAAAATGAGTGGACACGATGCGCCGGTCGCAGAATGCGATAAAGAGATGCGGATGGTCACAATCTGTCACAATTATATAACGGTTACATAACTGATCAATTTCTATATACAGGAATCTGACACAAGTAAAGTCAGGGCGACTCTGCACATCAAACTGACTCTTATAGTGTATTCATTCTCTCCTTGGTCGCTACTCAACTCATCGAGGAATGAAAATTTCCCTTTGAATCATTTTCACCTGTCGATTTTTCATTATCAGGTGTAACATTCTTTGGTTCATTATACCGTGAGGTATTAATTTGATTGTTTTGACCTTTCTGGCCACGAGGATAGGTTCCTACAGTAACCCTCTTGTGTGAGTTCGGATCGCTGATTGTTATCTCGGAATCTCCGTTTCCAAAGGTCTTAATTTCACTTTCCACCAAGACATCAAAAGGTCTCCCTAATAACACTTGAAATGGAGCTTTATTCTGTACGTGTCAAGCCCATGCCTCGGTCCTCCACTCCGCCACTCGGTATTCCAAAGATCCACCTGTCATAAAGTACGCAGCCCCTATCATTTTCCTTTTCTCACCGTCTCGACGCCTTTACTTGTACGATACATCATCCCATCACTGTCAAACCCCCATCGATTACTGATCCACCTGACCCATCTTCTCCTTCTATTGGCTTCCGCCACCTTCCTTGTTCCTAAACTGTACAGTATTACATCGTTGTTTCTTGCAGACCGGATTATGTATATATAGCCAACCCTCCACAGCCTGGTCCCTTATCTTGACCTCTCTGTCATTATCTGGGACCAGGTATGTGCTTACTTACTATTACCTATGACTACGATACTCAATATATCTCTGTCATTATCTGGGACCAGCCTGCCGCCGTTCTGCTTAGTCGCCCCGCCTTGTTGCCCTGTTCAGTTGCTCCGCCTCGCCGTTCTGCTTAGTCGCTCCGCTTTCCTGCTCCGTTAGTCACTCCGCCTCTGCCGCTTCGTGACATTAGGTCAAGATCCATTACTGCACTGACAGCCTACCGATAAGGTTGTCCTTGCAGGGTCTATAGACACCACGTCTTCCCCAGTTCCGCCCGACTCTGAAACACCTGTTGCCAGTATAGACTGCTCCGCACTCCCGCACGCACTTGACCCCAGAGACCAAGCTCACGCCCATAACAACGACGATACTTGGTGTGATTGCCAGTCTCAACCTTGCCCCAACGCCCTTTCGAACTCAATCCGAGAGCCACTTACTGTGAGCAATATAACCTTCCTGCCGATTCCCCAGCCCCGATTGCCTACTCCCATCATGTCGACTCCTATCCCGCCTGCCCCAAACACCTCTGCGGAGGATCTCATGGCTCAGCTCATCAGACAAGTAGCTAACCTTGCTACAGCTATGGAGGAACGCTCATCCTCTAAGTCAAGCATGAACAAACCCGAGGTTTTCAAGGGTAAAGATGGCGCTGAAGCCCGTCGCTTCATGGCTCAGTTCCAGAATTGGGCATCGGAACAACCGGATCTCGCCAAAAGCCAAGTAAAACTCATCAAGTCCGCCTTGGGCTTCTTCACAGAAAGTGCCGGAGATTGGGCAACTCCCCATCTGCTACATTTCAATGCGGAAAATCCCCCTTTTGGAGGAAATTGGGAGGCGTTTCTGAAGGAATTTACCCAACGGTTTGAACCAATGGACCCAGGTATGGAAGCCCGTAGCGAGATCAAGAATCTCAGGCAAAGTAAAGGACAGACAGTTGCGGAATTTGCTCAGAAGTTCAAGGATATCGGAGATCGGACTGAAATGTCTGATATTGACTTGCGGGAACGATTCTTCACTGCATTACTCCCAGAGATCTGACAACACCTCATCACCGTAAACATTGCCCAAGGAATTGCTCCGACTCTGAAGGAGGCAATCAAACGGGCCATATCGGTGGATGTCTACCTGCACGATCCCACCATGACTGGCCGGAACTCTGGATACCCTCCCACGCATACCGCTCATACTACCCCTGCTGACCCCCACGCTATGGACATTGATGCAACCCACACCAGTAATGGGAATACTAGGGAGGCATTCCTAGCTCGCATGCAAGGACGATGCTTCGGCTGCGGTGCCCAAGGTCATGTCAAGCAAAACTGCCCACACCGAGAAACCACCTGCCGCTACTGCGGACGCCGAGGACATCTGGAAGCAGTCTGCCAAGACAAATTCATGGGACTCGGACGAGACCGAGGCCGACGCCAGCAACCTCGACGCCAACAGATATCTGCTACGGGACCCGCGCCATTCTCCCTATTCCCAAACGAATCCGTCCAAATCGCGTCCTCGACCCCAACATCTGCTCCTGCACCTGTAGCTGCTACTCCGAGCCCTCCTAACCAGGACTTTTCCAATCAGATTGGTCAAATAAGGGAATTACTTGATCATGCTAACGCTATGTCCTCCTCGTCTTCTGGCTTTCAACAGGGTTTTTAAAGAGGGTACCCGCTTCGGCTGCACCGAGAGTACCCCGTAATCAGTTTGTTATGTTCGCTACTTCTTCGTATGACTCGCACCCATCATGTACAATATCGTCGATCCGGGAATTAAACTCCACGTCCCCACATTTCCGAATTCATGCGAGACTAAGAGGAAGGAATCACAGTATAACAACTGCAGCCATGGTAGACTGTGGAGCTACCGCCCTGTTTTTAAACCAAGACTTTGCCACCCGGAACCACGTAAGATGTGCACCCCTCCATAAACCAATCGACGTTCTTAATATCGATGGAACACCTAACCGAGCTGGACGGATAACCCATTTTGCACGTCTAGCACTCACAGTGGATAATCAAGAGCGATGGATGGACTTTCTGATCATCAACCTAGGGGGTGAAGACATCATCCTTGGACTCCCCTGGCTACGGAAGGTAAACCCGGAGATTGATTGGGAGAAAGGACGACTCTCAGTAAAGCCTCCTCGAGTAACGATAGAAGAAGTCCCAGACGAGGAGATCTTGTACTCTCATCTAGCCGCCACTCACACAGAAAGCCCAATCCTCGAACTCCCGGAACCGGAATCTCCCGCAGAAAACCCCCACATTGAGGTGCCACCAGAAGCGACCCTTGAACAGAGCGAATCAATAGCAGTTGAAGAACTACCAATACACCAAATTCGAGCCAATCATAAAACTCGCCGCGCATGGGTAAAAGCAGGAATTCTAGAGGAACAGACGGAGGAAGTCTGGTGCGCCGCAGGATTCACTTACTCCCAGCAGCTAGCAGAGGAAGCCAACCGAGACAAACCCGTTAAAACCTTCGAAGAAATGGTCCCTGAGCAGTATCGTGATTTCAAGAAGGTTTTCTCAGAATCCGCCTCCGAACGATTACCTGCCCACCAACCTTGGGACCATGCAATTGATCTCGTACCTGGAGCACCGGCAACCATGCATACCAAGATTTATCCCATGTCCCTAAACGAGCAGGAGGAGTTGGATCGTTTCCTAGAAGAAAACCTACGAAAAGGCTATATCATCCCCTCAAAATCACCAATCTCATCACCGGTCTTCTTCGTAAAGAAGAAGGATGGGAAACTCCGTTTTGTACAAGATTACCGGAAACTGAACGAGTACACTGTGAAGAACCGATACCCTCTCCCATTAATTGCTGACATCATTAGCCGACTTCAGGGAGCAAGATACTTCACGAAGTTTGATGTCCGCTGGGGTTATAATAACATATGGATTAAGAAGGGGCATGAATGGAAAGGCGCGTTCGCAACAACCCGAGGCTTGTTCGAGCCTAAGGTCATGTTCTTTGGTCTCACAAATTCCCCTGCCACGTTCCAAGCACTTATGAATGCTATATTTGCTGATCTCATTGCAGCCGGCAAGGTGGCAGTCTACCTAGATGACATCCTTATCTTCAGTAACGATCTCGAGGAACACCGATGAATGGTACGGGAAGTATTAACTCGGTTAGAAAAGCACGACCTCTACCTACGACCCGAAAAATGTGAATTTGAACAGCAACAGATTGAATACCTCGGACTCATCATCTCAGAAGGGGAGGTGAGAATGGATCCGGTAAAAGTAGCGGCTGTTCGCGACTGGCCAGTCCCTACTAATCTTCGGGAACTACGAGGGTTCTTGGGATTTGCAAACTTCTACCGACGCTTTATCCGGAACTTCGCCAAAATAGCACGACCTTTGAACGACCTGATGAAGAAAGACACCAGCTTTACCTGGACCGACACTCGACAGAACGCATTTGACACCCTTCAAGAAGCCTTCATCTCCGCACCGATCCTTGCTCTATGGACACCAGACAGGCCTACTCGAATTGAGGTAGACGCATCAGGCTTTGCCACGGGAGGCGCCCTTATGCAGAAGCAAAACGACGGCCAATGGCATCCGGTAGCCTTCAGATCGGCATCCATGCAGCCAGCGGAACGGAACTACGAAATTTATGATCGAGAGATGCTTGCTATCATTGAAGCACTGAAGGATTGGAGGAACTTTCTAGAAGGACTCCCTCAACCATTCGACATCATTACGGACCATTCGAACCTCGAATTCTGGCGCACTGCACAAGACCTCACCCGCCGACAAGCCCGATGGGCCCTCTATCTGTCACGGTTTGACTTTCATATGATCCACCGCCCTGGCAGAGTAAACACCCAAGCTGATGCTCTCTCCCGCATGGCAGTTCATCATGTATCGGACAGCGATGATAACCGGCAACAGACAGTCCTTAAACCCGGCCACTTCGTAAAAATTGCAGCTTCGATCCTACAGAACCCCTTAGAGGATCGTATCCGGAAAGCCTCAGAACGGGAAGCACAGGTATTGGAGGGTCTCAAAACAGTCAAAGAGCACGGACTACAGCGCTTGGCCAATGGGATAGCCGAATGGGAAGAGGACAATGGGTTGGTCTACTACCGAGGTCGAGTATATGTACCAGCAAACGATGACCTACGCACTGAGGTACTCCGTCAATGCCACGACCATCCAAC